AATCTCTGCGACCAACCAACTTTTCCACCGTGTATTTGCAATATCGTTCCTTGTTCTTACAATATCCGTAGAGTACAAAGTGATCTTTCTTTCGTTCGACGTATTCGCGCGCGAGACGCAATCGAGAGCGTTTCTTCGAGCGACTTTCCCTTTCATCGTCTCCTGTGGCTCCTCTTCTTGATCCTACGACCGAGAAAGAAACGAGAGAGATTGACTTTTCGAAACGTTTTGCGCATCTTCGGACGAGTACTTACTTCTTTGGCCCCTTGACGAAACACCAATCGACCGAGATTGGTTGCCCCAAGATTTCCGTCCCGTTCAAAGCGTCTTTCGCTGCTTGAGCCTCTTTGAACGTTTCGTACTCCACCAGAGCGTATCCTTTCAAGAAGCCCGTTCTTCTGTCCAAGTTCAAGTGTAAATTCTTTATCTGTCCAAATTCTGAAAACTTATCTTGAATGTCGTCCTCTTGAGCCTCTTCGTGTACCGAGTTTATGAACAAGATCCATCCTTCCACGGCTGTCGAATGGAAAACGTTCTCGTGAGTGTCTCCGAGTTTTACGTTTCGTGCATTTTGTTCTTACTGTATTTTCCGTTGCGTTACGTTTTTTATATCGTTGCTGGGTCGAGCCCGAATCGAACGTAAAGTGTCTGAAATGCTTTCTTACATCTCTGAGGACCCGGTTCGTCGTCGTCTTCCTCGATGACGTTCATCGACTCGTAATGACCGACGTCGTCGCGCGTCGACGCCAATTCCGCGCCGTGTCCTCTGCCTTTCCTTCTCTTTGCCTTTTCCTTCAAACGTGCGATACCCTCTGAAGAACGAAAAAGTAAACGTCGAAGCGTAAACGTACGCGTCTTTCGTCCGCGACGTCGATCCGACGAATTCGCCGACTCGCGAGAGACGTCTTCCGATCGACGACGCTTTTGCGCGTAACCTCGAAAGACTCGCGACTCGCGAATTGTCGATTCAACTTACGATCGCCTTCGTCGTCGACTTCGAATTCTTCTGCGTTGTCGATGTCCAGCACGTCTGCCATGATTCGACTACCGGGAACCGATTCTCTTTCCGACGCGTCGGCGAGTACCTAGCGTTTGCAATCGCGACGTGGACGAACGACGCCAAGATGGAGAGAACGTACGTTCCGGCGAGTAATCCCCTCTCTCACCCACCGTCGTGCCGCGCCACGCACGCTTGTTCGAACGTTTGCGTCCGATACTTTTGGCCGATAGATGTCCCTGTACTCGACGCTTTTGCAAGTACGACGATCGACGAACGACAAATTCACCGTACTACCGACGACCGTGCGCTTTGTTGTTGTCGGTATTTTTAACGACCGTCGTTCGACGATGTTTCGTCGAACGATAAAAATCGATCGATCGATCGATCGTTTGCACGCTTTTGATCGACGACTTAGGCTCTGGACTTTACGTTGTGAGAACGTAGAACGTGCGATGCGCGATGTCGATTGTCTCTTTCGCAACTGTTGTTCGTATCTTCGCTGATTCGTCGCGTATCCTCGACGATTATTTGCGAACGTCTCCTTGGTAATTTTCCTGAAACGTTGACTTTTGCGTGGTTTCTTATTCTGGAATCTCGCAAAGTTGGCGCCGTAAA